GGGGGGGGGGGGGGGGGGGAGAACGAGCAGTGTGTGTAAAAATTTTATTGTTTCAAGGGTTTAGGGTTTAGGGTTTAGGGTTTAGGGTTTAGGGTTTGTACGGATTTTCCTAGGGTTTCGAGTTTTGTTGCGTGCTGCTGAGATGTTAATTTAAGTTTATTTATATCTTCTGTCCAGCTGCTGCTGCTGCTGCTGCTGCTGCTGATGTTTTGCTGCAGCTGCAGCAGCAGAGAATGGCTGTGGTTACAGCTCTTCTTCAGCTCCCCCAAGTCAACACGAAAAGCCTCAATTGCCTCCTAAAGAAAACACAACACTTCTACTTTATATATATATATATATATATATATATATATATATATATTTATATTTATATATAGATACGTGCATGTGTGCATATATGTATGCCTTTCTCTTCCCCTCTATAAGCATATATATATTCCTATATATATAGTTGCAGGTGTCTATACACCTGAATCTATAGATATTGTTATTTGTGTGTATATACATATGTATGCATGATAAAGATATAATATTTAAATGAATAATATTAATAAATTTGCGGTGTATATGCACCTCCATTTCTCTTTGTTGTTGTTGGTTTTGTTCTTCTACTGCATTTCTTCTTTTCTGTTCTACTGCTATATTTTGCCTCAGGCCCTCAACTGCTCTCTCTACCCCCTGCCGCAGCAGCTGCAGCGAAGCATCTGCTGCGTTCAGTGCAGCACCATGGGCAGGCACAAGCTGACGGAGAACAGATATATCTCCTTCTATACAGCTGAGACGAGATGCATGCTCAGCCATCAGGCTACGTAGCTCCTTCAGCTCTACACAAATAAACACACAATAAACAATAAATAATAAACAATAAACAATAAATAATAAAAAATAAATAATAAATAATAAATAATAAACAATTAAAAAAATAATTTATTAAACAAAACACGAAAACAAAAACACCTCTCTCTACTGGCTTGCTGAGCTGGGGTGTATGTGCAGCTCTTTTGGGGTGTATGCGCAGCTCTGTTGGGGTGTATGCGCAGGTGTTTCAGGGTGTAAATAAAATTTTTTTTTCGCTCTAACCCTCGGTTTTTAGTCTTTTTATATCTTCTCCCAGCACAGCAACCTCAAACTCCCATTTTTTATTTAATTTTTCGCAGCGCTGCAGGCAAAGGCTGAGCTCCTTCTCTATGGCTGCCCGCATAGAAGCATCCGTGCTGGGGTGTTGCAGAGCAGCAACTTGCTCTTTTAAACCTGAAAATACACACAATCTATTTAAAATAAAATATATAAACAATATATTATTTAATATAAATAATACAAACTACGCAGATGCGGTCTACGGCTCACACGTTGGTAGGGCGAGAGAGACGTAACTAGAGAGTGATGGGGGTTTAGGGTTTAGGGTTTAGGAATTAGGGTTTACAAGGG